TCCACAAGGCAGTGGAACATCATAAGGAGATGCAGTCCCATGGAAGCCGGTGACCAACAATTGGTTCATACGCCTTTTGTTCCCGCGGGATACTGGAGCCCATGTGCACCATTGGTTTGAAATCCGGTTAAAGCACCGGACATTCGCTTTTCGTCCTCTCATTTTCATAAACAACACCCCGGTGAGAGAAGGCAGTGAGTAGGACTTCCCTGGTAGAGGCTATATACGCGTGGCCATGTGAGAACAATTGGAGAGGGAGAGCGGACTCTCCTCACTCTCGGCCGTACCATGGCATTTGGGGGCGACTTCATTTTAGGAAATAGTATCACTAACTCTCATTCAACAAACAATGTGGCTTAAAGCTGAGTAGATAGACTTACAAACGTTAAATGAGTACCACAACAAAAATAGAACAATATGACGAGTTTACTATTGAATTAAGGATATCAGCTCGAACAAAAATTTTAACTAGGTATATATGTATGGCTTGGTAACAAATTCGTTGAAAAGAGATCCCTTCGCTGAACTACGTGTTTTTAATGTTCGAAAAGGGGGATTATATACCAACCGGAAATAAGTGATGAACTTACATCTATTTACTGATGTTCACCATAAAAATTCGTCTGACCTTTTGACTTTATAATTTATAGGACGATAAACAAACCATCCCTATCCCCAATCAACCATTCTAAGTTACTAGTTTCTAGCTAATGTTGTCCAATGATAAGTTCTTTTCGACGTTTACATCTTTCTAAATTCCTTGAAAATACAGTATTTTCTTTCGGATTTCCTTAAACCATAGATCCATGTCACAGCGTTGGCGCGATCGTGCAAGTTTAATCGATAAATTAGAAAAACAAGTAGAACAAATGCGTCATAACTGGGATGAAGAACAAAAAGTTCTTATTCACGAACGAGATACAGCACGAAAAGAAATCAGGTGAGTTTATTTTATATATTTTGACTGGATTCTTGTATAAGTTTTAGTTGGAATTATGTATTTTATCATGTAAAATAAACTGCGTCCCCAAAGCGAACCTACATGTACATACAGAACCGATGGATATTAAAAATGTAAACCAACCATCAGACACATTGATGTGTTATTTAGACCAGGAATTATACGGGAATCGGCTGTGAAATTAGTCACTATGACCCTCTTGGCAGTGTTAACATTCCCACAGAAGAGCATTACGAAAGTGTCTTGGCATAATGAAATTTAATCTAATTTTTTTTCTTTTTCATCTTCATTTCTTCGCCAGCAAAATACACACCAGACGCTTACTTATTTGATAAATATGTTAGTTTGTCTATTGTTTTAAACGATCTATTCGCATCGATGCACACATGTCACTTAATTTTTTTTTTACAAGTACATTACATTCCCAAATGCAAGCTATGGACGAAAGATTTCGTCAACAGCTATCATCTACTGAAGAAATGAACGACTTAGCAATGAATCGTGTGAAGAATGAAGCAGAACAATTACGTATAGCTTGTGAAACACGTGTAGCTGAAGTAAGTTTACTTGTTCTCGAGGGAAAACTTCGGCTTAGAATATGGGAAAAGGTCAAATTGTTTTGACGATTTCTCGAGGATTTCTTCGTAGCTCAGAATATAAATATTTAAATTATATTATCCACTCGACTAAGTTTTTTGATCCGGGAACACTTGAAGTTAACGTCTATTCATATTAAACGGCAGATAGAAACAACTTACTAAGTACAAGTCTGTGTACTCGACTTTAAGCTACACTTAAGAAGTGAATGTTGATGACATTCAGTCAGTTGCAACGTAGGACCAGGCACATATATATGTCATTAGCACAACAAGATGAATACCAAATCCATAGTAGTTACTTCAAAGGCAGTAATACATAAAAGATTGCATATAAGGATGGTTGCTTGCACTAAAGTAGGTGAAGTAACACCTTAACGGAGTACTTTAATCCTAAGAATTAAACAGTACCACAACTAATTTCCCACTCTTTATGGAAACCGACCACTTCTTATGAATTCAAGAGTAATGTTGAATTTTTTTTAGATAAGATATTATTTGAATATAAGTATCACCCAAAACAATAGGCCCGATTGGGGGAAAGAACCAGTATCAAGATTAAGTAAACTGACTGACCAAGTAACTTTACAGAAAAAAGGTTCGGAAGTACAAAACCAGTCGTAGATTCTAAATTATAATCAGAGTGAGAACAAATAACTAGAAACATTTGCTTTAAAGTTAAAAGTTAATTCTCCAACCATGAATATTTGAAACTTACATAACTCTAAGAAGTGAATGATCAACAAATCTTCGTAAATCTTAAGTATTTCTAGACATAGGTTGACTAGATTAAATACTCACTTATCCTTATAAAACCATGCAGGAATGAACTCTTGCATAAAAGGAAAACTCTGACTACGGTTGATATATGTAACTCCAGAGAAGGTTTAGATGTATACAGCGGTGTTTCGAATGGAGTACATCTTTTATGGAACATATAAGAAATTTAATCGGAGCTTGGCTCCAGAAGATAATATTTATCACCTTTATTTTTTAAATGAACAGATGATTTTATGTGTTAGTTAGATTATCAAGGATCTTAATATTGAACTCCAGAATACGATATTTAATTCCTCAAACATTATAATTCCTTATTTCAGTCTTTAAGTGTAATAGAACAATCTGAACCAACACACTTTTAGGGCGAACTCTATATTTCGTAATTTTAATTTTCTTCGAACATCTAGAGCTAATTAGACAGTAGTTTTATCATATTGACAAGAAAATCCTTTACTTTTATCCTACTTTTAAATAGGTGGAATCAGAAATGCGTACAATTCTTCTAGAAGCAGAAAATTCAAGAAAAGCTACACAAGAAAGACTTAGATGTATATCAGCAGCATTATGTGCTCCAATCTCACCGCATGGCAAAATCCATTGCATTAACACGTAACTGGTGTTTTTTTTCAAATACTGAGGGGAAAAACACTGCAAAGAGATTCACAAAACATTACATGTATCCTTAGCTTGAAAAAATGCTGAACTGATTGAAATTAGTTTGTTGAAACAGTACTTAAAAATTCCTTTTTGGATTGATTCATCTCTATGATTTGGTTGTGCGATTTGTTTTTTTATTTTTAAACAACACTATTTGCCTTATATGTAAATAACTGGCGGATAACTAAAAGTGTATATAAATATACAGTTTATTAATTATCGACTTTCAGTCAGTCAGTAACAACGTAGAACTTCATACGTACGTACATCAGTTCGAGTTGCCATACCACATTAGCACAGAGATGCAGTTGTCGATTCAAATCTCGTAGTGGTAGAGGTAGTAATAGTATAAGCAGTAATCGGGAAGATTAGGGTTTGGAGATGTTATTTAAAGAGTATAATACAGTGAAATAAATTTGGAAGGAGGAAAAAGAGACAAGGAGGATTCAGATTAGAAATTGGAAGAACACAGAGCGAATGCACCCGCGCCAATGCAAACGATTTTGAGCAATGTCATTCAGGGTCTCTAACTAGCGGTTGCTATCATCTCGCAATCCTCAATCAGGTAGTCTACACCTAGGAAAAGCTAGTCGAGCCAACCTGCATCATTATAGACTTTGATGGTTCGAAGACCTAAAGATCATTCTCAATACAAATTATTGGTTGAGAAAACACCAAAACAAACATTAATTAACGTAGTCAGTCTCTTGTGCAGTATAAATGCTATTTCTTACTTATGAACACTGCAGAAACTAATTTGTATTAATGCAACAGCCTTGTTCGAATACTGGATGCTCCAGTAAGTAGTTTGGAGCGTGGTTTCCGGTAGTTAAAAACAGCACAAGTTCGATACGCTGGCATTGGTGGGATGTGAAGGAAACCGTGGCAAGGAAATACCCGTTGGCACTCAGCAATTACAACCAACCGCATATACTGTTGATCCACGTGGACACGATAAGATTTAATAGCGTACTATGATCGTTTATTTGGTTGTGACATGAGAACTAATTCTTAAGTCTTCTTGAGTTATAGAACTACCGGTTAAACAATATACAAGTTACTTGTCAAGTTTCATTTACTTTAAGATAATTTGACTTCAACAAATAATATTAGCGAAAATACTAGGATAACATGGTCAACCAGTGCTATATGACCGTGATAGACGAAGCTGACAGAAGTAAATCGACGAAAACCCCGAGGTGATTAGGGTATATAGCAACTAAGTATGCGGTTTGGTAAACACTAGACAATATTTAAAACCAGAAAACTGGAGCGACTTCGGTAGTGTTAGGCCCATAATTATTGGGTTACGTAGGCCGAATGTATGAAGCTATTCAAGCCTGCATCGTGTAGAGTTCCAAGCTCACTAGATTCATCAGCACAAACCTCAGGTAGATGTGCTGATGATGTCGTTCAGAAAAACGGTAGAAACTTCACGACCATACTATCCAGCTCAGAGAACAGAGCTTCATCAACATTATACGAGCTACAACTCTCCACTAGATTTAGTTTGAGGAAGCCAGAATGAACCTTCTAAATAACATCAATAGCCAAACATTTTCACTACGAACTGTAAAGAGGCAGTGACAGCATATCATTAACTAATCACAGTCAAATACATTAATACACAACAAATAAATATCGGAAATACATCCCATTACTTATATGTCACAACGATGTGGCACTGCATCCTTCAGTATACACGGAACTCATTTCAAACCCGGTAATCCTTTAGCTATATATACTTATAAGTACCATGCAGTTTTATTGTCGAATGTATTAACGATTGCTTTCTTTTCTTCGACTACCTGCGTCACACATACAACAGCCAAGTTTGTACGTTGAGCCAAAAAAATCGATGGAGTGGATTAGCAAGCTATACTTATCAAAGTACGCCGGCAAATTTTTAATAAGCTCTTTTGAAATGGTTACGCAGTGTAATTAGTCTACCTACCAATCAACATACGCACAAGGTGCCTTGTCAAAAACTTACAAATGCCATATACTTCATGATTAATAGCTTATATTGATTGTATTGACAAGAAACTTCTGAGCCAAGTTAAACCATACATTTATTCTTAGGACTGTACAAAATTAAGAGTCCTTCTTCGTTTTCTTTACTTTAGTTCCTCGAATCTTCTTGGCCTTGTTCTTTCTTTCCTTCTTCAACTTTCTTCCTTTTGGTGGAATTGTCACTAGTTTATTCTACAAAATTTAGCTTGATAATACGTTGCCTTACCCTAGCAAGACGATATTTCATTTCGAACTTCTTAGCATGATCCAGGGAATCGTAAACCAGAGCAAAGCCTGTTGACTTGCCACCTCCAAATTGAGTCCGAAAACCATACGCAAAAACGACATCTGGGGAAGTTTTATAGGTCTTAGCAAGCTTTTCTCGAATTTCATTTCTTGAAAGGACGCAACGTCCAGGGTGTAAAATGTCAACGACCATCTGCTTGCGACATAGCAAGCGATTAGACATAAACTTCCTCGTTCGGATTAGGGTGTTTTCACTCTACACAAAGAAAAATTAGAATTCAATTAATGTCCAAAACATGGTCATGAACGGTATGACCCAACCTACCATGTTCAGCAACCACGGTTGCCTATCAAATGTGCCACCATGTGTACATAACTATTCAAACAAACATGAGTTTTTGAATGATATGTTACTCGCTACTAGTTAACGACGTCATAATTCTTGCTCATAAGAACTCTTTATAGCAACTACGTGATTTCGACAGGGGATTTACACTAACAAATAACATTGTGACAATTTAGTTTCCTCAACATCCGATATCATTATGTCGGTGCTGTATTGAAATAATCTATAAACTAACTAAAAGTATATCTGGTGGTTATCTCCTTCGTCATGTTGAGGAAGACAAAGTTTTAGCAATCTGGTTTTCGAGCCAATTACTCGCTTTTGAATGACTCTAATAAAAGATTATAAAACCAGGTTTATCACAGTAATCCGTAGGTTTTATGTTCACTACTCCTGATTCCTTTCAGTTAGTAACCTTGAGCAAGTGAGTTTTCGTAGTTATTCATTTGTGCTCTGTCTCTATGATTCATTTTCACTATCATCTGTGTTGTCACCCAACAAAAGCGTCCAATCTTCTGGCTATTCTATGTAACCATCAGTATTTATGCGCAAAAAATCAAGATGCAAATACGTTTCTTTTAGTGAGAACCACCTCCCATACTTCATACACAGATTTTTAGAGACATATGGCTAGACGAGGATTGAAAATCATAAGAGTAATACACCATTCCCCAGACCCGGTTCTTTTTAGGTTAAAACATGAAGTTAGCAAACAAGAGGAAGAACTACTACATCCGCTGGATTTATCGTTTTTTCTTATAGTTTTGTTGTACCTCAGATCAGCTTTGACCATTCAATTCATAGCTTTTTTTCTAAAAATTTAAACACTACAATCAGCATGTGTAATTTTATTGCCTGTATACCTTTTGACTAAACTTAATGATGTTTCTATTAGATATTAGTTAGGCTTTATTTTTGTTGTGACGTATGGTGTCCGAATTTGATTCTAAAACACGGTGAGCTACACGCTAGCCTTCCAACTGACTACTTGAGCAAGAAAGTGTACTGAACGACTGAATAAAATGCACAAATACTAATTCATATATATGTCACTCTATCCTTAGAAGACTGACCCATTAACCTTAATGAAATGCAGGTATCATTACCAAGGTTTGATTTGATTATTATATTATATTATATTTTAAATTGAGCATCGGGTAGATTGTTATAAATAAATAAATCTGTATCTTTATTTTCTGAAAAAGTGACTTATACCAAGTCACGAAACGCCAGAAAATCTAGTTTTTCTATTCATTGGGATATTACAAATACATTATTTATTTACTTAATGAAATGTATTTGACTTTTAGTCCACTTCTGATCCCAATCAATTGACCTTAAGCTACTTCTGATTGGTTCTCCATATCATCTTACCCTACTGAAAAATAAGTCTTGCTCCGTGGTGTAAGATTTAATTCGTCCTACAGATATCCCACGAGAACTGTAAACGCGATACTGGTGACCCCCGTGTCTGTGTGAAAGATATAGTCAGAACAAGAACAACTTGGCTTTAAACTTTATCTGTTCAAAACATAAAAATAATTTGATTAGTGCAATAACTAGAGGAATTATGGTTATTAAGTGGAAATTACTAACACATCGACCAGTTTGCATGTCATATCGAAATGAATAGAAATCAGTTACACTAATATAATGCGGTCATAATGTACTTCACTTGGCAGGTTACGTACGACAGTAATATTCTATACACCCATCAGACCAGATTGGCATGGTGGGCGCCTTAACATCCATTTGATTGGTTAGTTATGGAAATAACTAACACTTGGAGTTAAAGGTTACGCCAGTATCGGGATCAGAACACTCAATCGTGATTTGGAGTGGATTAATCTTGTTAAAGGCTGTTTTTGACTCTAGAAAAACCTTCCTGTTGTTCGATTATTCTGCTTTTGCTATATTCTTTTCAAGTGTTTGCCCCAGCACTCCGTAAACTTTCGGAATCATATCATCTAAGCAAATAATCTGCCTGGCAGGGCACATCGGCATTATTTACTGTGGGATTCCAGTATTATCTGATGAAGCCACAAAGTAAAATTTCCACGATACCCAGTACTGATAATGGTTATCATAATAAATGGTGGGTAGTGCAGTGTTATCTCGGTTAGCATATGCCAAGCGCCATTACTATATACCACATGACCACTAGCTCTCCTAATAACCAAAACTCCGGTGCAAAGAAACCAAAAGTCAGTAGTGCAGCAGAGATGTAAACCGAAAGTCAACATTGGTGACTTACCTCACTGAAGTAAATTCAGGAACGTTGGCGGTGGTTTATTCGTGATGCTTACTTGGACTACATGTGACCATCCGTGTCTCCTAAACAGACAGCGTTACCAACTAAAATGTTTTCCTGTTCTAACTGTGGCCACGCCACTAATACAGTGGGCCAATTCGAAATCGTTAAGTGATAATTACGTGCCATTGCCATATAAATGACTCATTTGGAAGAGATGAGATTTAATATATCGACCGATCTAACTTCTTAATGTGGATATATGTATGTTTCAGCACATATACAATACAATATTTTCTTTCGTATTCTCTATCTCTCCTCTTGAGTTGTCGGGTTGAAGTTTAGAAGTAGTGTGTATCAGTGTAAACTGTCGGACATCGTTTCATAACGACCACAACATTATACTTGGCAGTTAAGAAATTCACCATCAAAATGTAACTGTAGATAAATAAAGTACCTCGCTTTCAATGCAGGCCTCGTACTCTTCACTAGGGGAATTCATCTATATCTTGGGCGGCTGACCACTTCATGTCATTTGGTTGACTAAAATTCACCAAGGTCATTGATGGTTGAGCAATCACGTCATTTGCACTTAACCTCAGTAAGCTATAATATGGATTAGTGATTTCAAACGACAATTAAAAGACTTTATTCACTGCTTTTCTCACATATAATATGGTTTCCCACACTGGCTTCTGCTTCATGTTGCTCATCTTTTTATAACTTTATTGATTGATGTTCACATGCGTCGTCCTAAGGTAGTAGTGATAAGCACTAAAATTAGGGAAAATTAAGCTTGGTATGCAAGCAACTATTAACCTAAGTTAAACTAAGGCATAATGGTTGATTAATAAACACCATAAACTTCATATATCCGTGTTTATGAATTCGTCCATTAACCTAGTGATATCGAATCTACGTTCATCACATTTTCAGCATGTATGAAAACGGTGCTATTTTTCGTTGACATGGTAGCATACATTCGAACTAATGTAACTATTCAAATTCTGTCAAACTTGGTGTATTTTACTCGTGATAAGCTGTTCAGCTCTAAACGATAAACTAAACAATAAGTGATCGATCAGACCATGTAACCCGTTATAAAATTCTGGTTTACCATACTTATTTTGTGAGAAAATGCGAAGACGTAAACTATCCATAACATTTGAGGTAGCACCGCGTGTTTTCGCCACACCAAGGATTCGTCAGCATTTGATAGATCAGTTCATATCGATCCTTCATCACTGCCATATATCACTGTTGGAAACTTACAGTCTTAAAATACGGTGGGTACAATCGTTATTAATGTCAAAACAGATCGCTTCCAACAACTGCCTTGGATAATTGTCCGTGAATAAAGTGTTGTTTCCTGATGATTGTTATCTAACAGATGATTTCCGTAGGTATATCGACCGTTCAGATACTCTACGATTTATGGTCCCTTCTGTTTAATTGGTGGTTTGACATAATCATTCGTGGGAATAGTCAGTTTACACAGTCGAAAGTGCCACCTGAAAACTGAAAATGAAATTATCGCGTCTAATCCAAAACTGGACTCCCTTCCTACCAATATCACTGGCTTAAGTCCAAAGTGAAACTCTTGGTGTTTTATGTTCTTTTCGATACTTTCTACTTGGGTTATCGAACAAATATTCAGCACTCACTGTTTATCGTTATGCAGAAACAACTTAAGCGTGGGTGAGTATGGTAGGGCCAGTAAAATTTCACTTGGTCCTAGTCAGTGCATCTGGCGGTTGACTGATCCTCTTTACGTTCAAGGGCGACAAGCGCGCATCAATCGTTTGCGCAACATGGACTTGTCCATGTAAAATCGTTAACTTGGCTTTAGCCATAATAGCTGAATATGATGCAATATTAGTCCAAGTTATTTTTTAGCCTCAAGGTGTACCTTCGACGTAATATAGGAGGTCACACAAATCCCGTGAAACTCGGGTTGGCACCCAATCATGGACACAGATTGCCTTCGTTGGTCGTCTGCATGACAACTTGCAGCAAAACAGTGAAAAGTAAAGCAAAAACGAGATAGATATCTTAAGTCCGCTTGCACGTTTTGTGTAAATTTGCGCAAAAGTACCTCTACATACACAGTTCAGTAGTGTAATTTATTGTGAAGTTATTCTTTATAGTCTTTTAACATTTAAGGTTGAATAGTTAAGGGCTGGCCAAAAACATCTGAGTAGCGTCGAAATGTTATGGCTCGAGTATCCATTTACTTCCTTGTTTTGTGTACGAATTATGTTTTCCATCATTTATATTGAATGGTGAAAATTTTGAGGGTTTAATAAACATAATCTTGTGCACCAACTGTTCTGTTCGACTGTATGAATGAAAAACTTTTCAGGCTACAGTCTGGTTTCCTCTATAGATAAAACTAATGGTATCTACCGGTGTAGAAATGCTTTTTTATGTATGTTTCGGTGAGCTTCAGATTCTAGGTCAGACTGTTACTATCCATTCTTCATTGTATCTTTTGTCTTCCCTACTTTTATACCGAATGTCTATTATTTTCATGGACTTCATCAAACTTGTTCTACTTGACATTTTATGTACGCCGGCTATAATATTTGTTCGTTTCTCCTTTAAACTTTGTCGCTTGAACTGATAGAAGTTATGAACTTTTTGGGGAATTGAAAAACCTTTTCGGAAATGGAAGTACTTAATTTTGTAACGAGTAATTAAAGTTTAATTTCTCAGTAATTTTGTTCTTGATACTTTTGTAGAGTTGAATATTGATTTCGAATAAATTGTCTGTGGTATATCTAAAAGCGATAG